CTGGGCATCGGAGAGAAGGACTCCGCGATTGTTATCAACGGAAAAGTGATCAAAATTCCAGAGAACGAGCCCTTCATTGAGGATGACTTCAGTCTAATAGAGAAATACGCGACCAATAGTTTTGCCACTAAAATACTCACAGAATTGACTGACGAAGAAAAGTCTGATCCGCAGAAGTGCAGTGATTTAGTTCTTAGAATTAGTTCTATTCTGTTGTCATTTCCACAATCAAAGGCCAGACACGACGTGAAATATTTTGCCGATAAACACAGTGTCGTTAACTTAGAGCCCATTCGACCCGACGAGCCGTCCCTTTATTTGGTCGCTATTATGGATCCGTTAACGAGGTTTGTATTCATTCATTATTTCAATCTATTTTATCGCAATCTAAGATACAAATTATGGTTTTATAAGTTAGAACTCTTTTGAGTCCACATAATTGAGTCCATCTGTCCTTAAGGTAGTACCGTATTGCTCCGCAACTAGTAGCATACAATAAGTGCATTTTATTCTTTATTTGGCTTAATTTGACTAATGCTCTAATTATACTTACGTCAGATATAGTTGCATCCCTTGTATACAAATTAATGATAGGTTAACTCATCTCAATAGACTTTTAACCTGACTTTTGGGGGCCGAACCATCTTATAAACCACATTTTTCATAAATGAATTGTGTTTAAAAATCTTTATATCACAAAATATTCTTACAATACCAATTAATTTCATACAATCTCATACAATAAATGCCGGCAATGACTTTTTACAGTTCCTTACATGTTGTAAATATAAAGGGTATGTTTTATGTTAAACTTCATAGTTTTTTAAAAACTTATTTAGTATAATTTCAATTGAAATTACAATAAGATGTTAAAACTATTGAGGTATAGAATAGTTGCTTTCATTTCTAGAATTGCATGCAACTATATACGGACTCTTGCGGTATATACCTGTGTATATGTTATTCGTCTGGATTGCTATTAACGAGATTGTAATAGATTTACAAATTGTCCACAAGTTTTGTGTAATCTATTGCTTTGCAAACCTTATTAAATATAAATTAAATTATCTTTTTAATAGAGGAGCACAAAAATTGGCGCCAATATTGGATACTTTGCATCAAATATTTAACACAAAAATACAAATATTTTTCAATTGTGTGGACAAACACTCGGAAATGCCATTAAAAAGCTTCTATCGATTTGTGATCGAAAGCGAACCAAAATTTTCAGATACCGACGAATTGATCCAAAATACAGCACACTTTTCATCGGTTCCCACCTCTCCTCTACTGACTCTAGGAATGGCTGTTCCCGACAATTGGTTGGTTGAGTCAACACTTTCTCTCTACGATTTAGATAACATCCATTTGGATGACGTCGAGGGCAACGGTATATCAGCTGAGTTCG